GAGCACCATGGGGTAATTCACCAAACTTCCTGTTCTTATACCCCACAACAGAATGGCGTGGTTGAACGAAAGAACCGACACTTACTTAAAATTACTCAATCCATTATGCTTGATATGAATGTTCCAAAGCATTTTTGGAGTGATGTTGTCCTTACATCATGTTTTCTCATCAATCGGATGCCCAAGCCCATCCTTGGAACTAAATCCCCCTTCTCAGTTTTGTTCCCTACTCTTTCTCTATTCCCTCTTACTCCCAGAGTCTTTGGTTGTGTTTGTTTTGTTCAGAATTTAGGGCCTAGACTAGACAAGTTAGATGCACGTGCTACAAAATGCATCTTTCTTGGCTACTCCAAAACCCAGAAAGGATATAAGTGTTATAACCCTAGCTTTCATCGGTCCTTTGTGTGTTTTGATGTCACTTTCTTTGAGTCGGTACCATTCTTCTCGAGTGTTGATGTTCCTACTCCTGCTGCTATGTTTCCACTTCCAGTTCAAGTTGAGGACCCTCTTCCTACGGTTCATGTTCTATCTCAGTCACCGTCTTCTCTAGTGAAGGTTAATACTGAGAGGCCACCAATCACACAAGTGTATACTCACAGAAGAGCACAAGCCCCTCCTCCAGTTCAGTCCTCATTGACGGATCCTGTAGTTGCACCTCCTCCTTCTGACTTTGATCCTCCTATTGAATTGAAGAAAGGTAAACATAGTTGTACATCTCATCCTATTTATCATTATGTTTTTGTTCCTCACCTTTCCACTTCTCATCGACAGTTTATATCCTTGTTATCATCTATTTCCATTCCTAAGACAGTCCAAGAAGCCATCACTTCTCCAGGGTAACGACAAGCAATGGAAGAGGAATTGTCTACACTGGCACATAATCACACATGGTAACTTACCACTCTCCCTCCTAGTAAGCATGTTGTTGGATGTAAGTGGATCTACACAGTGAAATATCTTCCAGATGGTAGTGTAGAATGGTTGAAAGCCAGGTTAGTGGCCAAAGGCTATTCTCAGTTAAATAGTGTTGACTATACGAAGACATTTTCTCCTGTGGCTAAAATTGGTTCAGTTCGGGTGTTGATTCCTTTAGCAGCAATATATGATTGGCCCATGATTCAACTTGACATCAAAAATGCTTTCTTACATGGTGATCTTGTTAAGGAGGTATATATGGAGCAACCACCAATTTTTGTTGCTTAGAGGGAGGATGGTAAAGTTTGCAAACTTAAGAAGGCGATTTATGGACTAAAATATACACATGCGTGGTTTGGCAGATTTAGTTAAGTAGTGAAGAACTTTGGCATGAAATAGTGCCAAATTGACCATTCTGTGTTCAGCCATGAATCAAAAGTTGGGAAAATCTTATTAGTGGTGTATGTGGATGATATTGTCATAATTGGTAGTAACAGTAATGGGATTGGCAGGTTGAAAAACTTTCTACAAGATCACTTCCACACAAAAGATTTGGGTAAGCTGAAATATTTCTTGGGGATAGAAGTTGCAAGGTCAAGGTATGGCACTATCTTGTGCCAAAAGAAGTATGTCCTTGATTTACTCAAAGAAACAGGGTTGTTGGGTGCCAAACCAGCTGAAACACCCATGGAACCGAATGTTGAGAATTGATCCTAGAAGGTACAGGAGGTTGGTGGGTAAATTAAACTACCTAACTATTACTCGACTAGATATATCGTTTGTTGTAAGCATGGCGTGTCAGTTTATGTAACATCCTCAAGTTCCACATTAGGAAGCAGTTCTAAGAATTGTTAGGTACTTGAAGGGAGCTCCAAGTCATGGACTATTCAACTCTTGAGATAAAAGGGTATACAAATGCTGAATGGGTCGGATCTGCGTCTAACAGGAGATCCACTACAGGGTATTGTACCTTCCTTGATAGCAATCTGGTATCTTGGAAGAGCAAGAAACAAATAGTGGTGGCAAGAAGAAATGTTGAAACTGAGTACAGGGCTATGGCTCATACTACATGTAAACTAGTGTGGCTGAAAAATCTTTTATAGGAAATTGGGTTCTCAATTGACAGACCCATGAAGTTGTAATGTGATAATAAAGTTGTTGTCCACATTTCTTCTAATCCAGTCTTTCACGAGGGAAAAAAGCATATTGAAGTTGAATACCACTTTGTAAGAGAAAAGGTGATTAGTGAAGTGATAAATACAACTCGTGAGTTCAAGAAACTAGTGGGCAGATCTATTTACAAAAGGGTCGAGTCAGGGAAGAGTGGATTACATATGTGACAAGCTGGGACTATATGATATATACTCTCCAGCTTGAGGGGGAGTCTTAGAATCGACAGTACAAGGGTATTTAAGTCTTTTGTCTATGTAATTAAAGTTAAGTTGTCTATTTTGTCTAGGTTTAAGTTGTGTGTCCTATACATAATAAGGGACAAATCTGTCTTTTGTAATCTAATACAAAGAGTATAAATATAAAGTGGGTCGACTGAGAGAGAGGGACTTTTCTTCTTCTCAAACCGAACCCTTTCTCCTTCTACTCTCTTCTTTCTCTTCTTCTTCTCTTCTTACTTCAGACCTAGAACTGAACTAGGGCTAATCGAATCATTCACACCTCCCATCAGTCCAATTTAAACAAGAGCAGAACCTCCATACAAAAGGTGACTAAACATGGAGTGATGGAGAGGCAGCCATCACTCCACTGCTAGCCCCACCTACAAACAAAAATACGTATTACATGATTCCAATATACTTCTTGGATATTACTTCATTAGTCTAAAACTCTAAATCATTGTTTAGAAAACGGACCGGACCAGCCAGTTGGACCGATTGAAATATGAACCCAAGCCCCTGCTTGTTCAGTTATACCCTAAAAACTGTTATTCATGAAAAACCCAACTAACCTGGCAGTTTAACCGGGAAACCAATGACCAGCCCCGGTTTTATGAAACCACCTAGGCCACAACATGAAAAGAAACTTCAATATAGTAATGACGACTTGAAACCAAGACCTCTTATGTATGTGTATTGTTTTGTTACCATTAATACATCTCTTTATTTGCATTTATTTGTGCCTCTTTAATGTATATATTGCTTTAATACACTTGTATTTTAAAGAATTTGTGAGTCAAGCGACTTGAAACCTAGTCATTTATTTTAAGAAGTTAAAAACTACCCATCTATCCACCACATGCAAGTGTAATATTATTTGTAAAATATATTATATGCAGTATTTATATGACCTACAAAATATATGCTTTTTTTATCAACAAAAGAGAATTTAGTTTTTTATTAAGCTGAAAAACAGGTTACAGTTTTTTATCTGCTCTGTACTCCAAGAGATCACTTTGGCTGTTTGGCAAAAACAGCTTGGGCTGTTTTGGGAGCCTCTGCACACGACACCTTAGCTAATTCAGGTCCTCATTTGTCTTTTTAATTAAAAGAAGGTTGAGTGTAAATGCTGTTTTACCCGCATTCATTATTAGATGTCATTCACAGCATGTTACCAAAACAGCCAAAGTTTTTCCGTACTCCAGAGTATTACAATATACAAAGAAACCCAGATTATGTAGATCAGCATCCCACTGTTGTAATACAGCCAGCTACAATTTATCCCAAAATAGAGTAGGTCTATCAACTCCCTGTTTTGCTAGAGTATTTGCTGGCCCATTCACTGTCCTTTTAACCCATCTGAAAGTAAAGTTAAACCTCTTAGCAAGAAAGTCAATCTCCCTGAATGCAAATCTGTACTTCCATGGTGCTGACTTGCTTACCCCAAGCAATGACCAAAAGCGAGTCCCCCTCCACTTCCAATTCTCTAGCTTGTAATTGTTCTGCTAGTTTCAGGCTTTGTAAGAGTGCCATTGCCACTGCCTGCGCCAAGTCCCCATACCCAATTGGTCCTAAGAACAAAGCCACACCTTCCCCATTATGATTTCAAAATACTACTCCTATTCCTGCTCTCCCAGGGCTTCCAAGGGAGCTTCCATCAAAATTCAGCTTCAATTAAAGTGGTTCTGGAGGTTTCCAATCCATCTTAATAATCTCATTATGTGCTTCCATCTTTGTCACTTAATTCCATTTCCTCGTTATATTATTTATTGAGATATCTTTGAATATGTCAATAGTTTTTACCCAATGTGCAGATCTGATTTTAATTGTTTCAATTACTTCCTCTTTAGATCTGCTCTTCTCATTGAAAATCCTTTGATTTCTTTCTTCCCAGATGGTCCAAACTACAGCTGCCCTCGTTACCTTCCATAAGCATTTCACCATTTTTCTCTATAACCGCAAAGAATTATAAAACATATATATGCTTATGCTACATCATCACAGTTCAATCCCCCGATTTTACTGTGGTTGAAACTCTAACCCGTGAACCCCTCCCTTTTCCGGTTCTATGCTGGGTCCGATTCTCTAAACATTGGTCTAAATTGTTATATAATTTTTTATATTTCCATGTGTATAAAAATAATTCTTATTTATCACAATTATTTACCTTTAATATGATTAACATAAAATATTAGAGATGTGAACAAATATTTTTATAATTTTCTGTATTTATTTCTATTTTCAAATTTTATTATTTAACTATGACATCATAGAATTGGATTTTACCCACCACATGGATGGAAGAACAGTTTCATTTTGGGACAGTTTTAAAAAATATGGATTTTATATTGTCAAAAATATTGGATATAGATCTAATTAGTAAAAATTGTTATAAGTCGGTTTAAAAAAAAAACTATGGGTTTTATTTGTGAGAAAAAATGCCTTAAATATACAATTCAATGAGAGAGAATAGCAGTACCTTAAATATAAGACTTAATGAGAGGGCATTAAATGAGGTGAAAAGTAATAGTTCAAATTACATTTTTTGCCCTCACAATTAGAGAGGGACCAAATCAAGAAATGGGGGTATTTTAGTCAAGAAGGAAAATTCCACAAGTTTATTCTTACCATTTATATAAAGAGAGTGTCATCATAAAATAAAGACAATTGCACAAAACAGCACAGTATAAGCATTACCCTTCGTAAAATCTCATCGGATTGCTTCCTTCCCAATTGCTCGTGCCTCAGTGCATCAACAGTCTCTTGATATTTTGCATACATTTTTGCCAGCTAACCAGAGAATCAAACAGATTTAAATAAATTGACAAACGCAAAAAAATAAAAAATACCACCAAACGAGAAAAAAGAAAAGAAAAGAATTTTCTTACACTCCAACCATCACGCAAAAGAGAGGCAGCTAATGCTGTTCCTGAAACACCAACAGGAATTCTGGGCACAGGTATGTCACTATCCCCATTCATGTCATCAGTTGCAACTCCTAGAACCCATCTGAAAAAGGATAACTTGTTAGCAAAGAAAATGGTGAACTTTTGATACTTAATAGATCCTGATGCAAGAAACCGTTCATCAAAACACCTAAAAAATGGAGCTGCTAACATACTTCCAGGCAGAGTAGTAATTCATTACAGAAGTAAATACATCAGCAACAGGAGCATTGCCAAAATTAGCAATACATGAAGATGTATACAAGAGTCAAGGAGTAAACAGAAAGCAAACCACATCCAAAATCTAATAGACACCTCGAAACCACCCCTAGCAATACATCCTTGGTAATCTCATAATTTATTAATACTTAAATACTGAATATATAAGTGCAAGATTCACAGAAGTCAAAATTTTACCCTCGTCCAGTTCATAGAGACTCATTATTGCCCCCCACAACAAGCAAGTAAGGACACCATACAAGAAGTCTCTCACAGGCATCCAAACCAGAAATTGAAGACACACAAACAAGAAGCATAGAAAAGACACCCCTGCCATAGCTAAAATAAAAGTGAAAGAGATTCCAAGTTGCAGGGCTAGCTTATTCTACTAGAATACAAAAATGACAAAAAAAAAGAGTTAAAAGTAATGTTCTTCCTCAAGGCATGTTGTTCCTTCAGAATGCCTCCTAAATCAGGATTGTTGAAATGTTAGTTACATCTCTTTACCTTTTGTGGAAATCATTATAGTAGACATTTGTTGCTTTATTTCTCATTACCAAAAAAATGATTTTTTCTTTCCTTTTCTTGGCAACTAAACAAGAATGAAATAATTAACTATAACATGCGGCAATACCAAGAAATAACTCAAACAAAACAAGCAACATTTGAGGATTAAGCAACAATAAGAAAGAGCATTCAGACAGCACAAGTAAACTGAACAAGCTTCCTGCTAAACTGCATGCATAATAGCATACTTTTCCTCTGCAAAACTGCTTAGTGGAAGAAGACTTGATTCATTAGCTTTCCGAGCATTCTCAATTTCTGCTTCACACTTCTCAACTTTCTCTTTCAACTGTGCAGCTTCCTGCATTAACCAGAAAATAAAATATACAAGAATCAAAAAAGTAGAATAAAATAAATAAATAGCTACAGAAAAGCTTAAAGACAAAAAGAGACATTAGATATTGGGTTCCAAATTCTAAGTAAACTTCTGCAAGTTTCATGTTTGTGCATTTCAGAGATGAAATGCAGCTAGTTCAACTGTAGGGCGATAATGCTCAACTGAAATTTTTATTTGATAACGCTGAACTGAGGCATGTTCTGTTAAGAATGGGGAGAACATAATTGCTTAACATATTTTTCACCAAATATTATGTGGGCTCTCAATGCCAAACAGTTTTACATTTGTAAGCATTTCGACAACTTGTACTGCACTTGGAGAACTAAGGATTGGCAAAGGATTCATGGGTGGGTGATCAAATGTGGCGCAAATGTCTTTGTGGGAATTGCTATTGTTGATCTCTATGCCAAGTGTGGTGATATGATATTGATGAAGCTGTGAATAAATTTTCATGTATGCCAGTTCATGATGTAGTTTCTTGGACTCCATAATAACTGGGTTTGTTCAAAAAGAGGATTACATTTCTTTAGAGAAATGAGAGTAGTTGGGGAAGAAATTAATACTTACACAATCACAAGCATGGTCACTGCTTGTGCCAACCCTGGAATGATGAGAGAAGCCATCCAAATCCATTCCTTGATTATAAAAATTGGGTTTCATTCAGATTCCACAGTGAGGGGCTTTTTGATTAATATGTATGCAAAAATGGCAGTTGAATTGTCTGAGATGGTATTTGGTGATATTGGGTATACTAACAACTTGAGTGTTTGGGCAGCTATTATATCTGCTTTCGATCAGAACTGGAAAAGTAGCATGGAGTATCCTCCCCTCTGCTGTTTTCTGGGCAGTATGGGGTGAAAGAAATTTGAGAATTTTTGAAGGAAGGCAGAAATCACAAGAAGAAGTGTTCAACAGGATTATGGGGATGGTGTTTTCGTGGCTGACAAACCATCCACTCTTTAAAAACAGGCAAACTTGTTCTTTTTTTGAGCCTGATTTCCTTTTTGTAAGAAGATCATAGTTTTTTTGTTGGGTTGTTTTTCAGAGGCTGGCTTTTCCGAGTTTTTCTGTCTATTTCTGCTTTACAGTCTCTCATTGTACAGGGGCCTTTTGTATTCTGCCCTTTTGTTAGTAATGAAATACTTTACCTTACAGTTCTCAAAAAAGAGTCCAGGAAGGACAATTGAATTATTTAGGATGATCATTCAAGGAGATCTGAGATCTGATGAATTTTGTAGTTGTAGTATTTTAAGTATTGTTGATCATTTATATCTTAGGAAACAGATCCATTATTACATTCTTAAAGTTGGGTTGATTTCCCATGTTTATGTTGGGAGTGTTCTTATCACAATGCACTCCAAATGTGGGAGCTTAGAGGAATCTTACCCATAAGGATGAAATTTCATGGGCCTGAATGATTACTGGTTTTGTAGGACATGGTTGATTATGCTATTATTATTTTGATTAATGAAAAAAAATGAATGAGAATGAAATATGTAACCAATAGCAGTGGAGGAAGAAAACCGGAGAGAAGGACAAGAAGTTAAGAGGAGATGGTGCAGATTTATTCATCAGAAACTCGAACTGTTCTCAAGCTGAATGTTCAATCGGTTCAGTGGTACCACCAGAATCAACAATTGCATTGAACTCACAACAGGAGTTTAGTTGTTCCTTCTTTTTAACTAGTTTTTCATCTCCTTCTGCTTGCCTTTTTTTTTGGCTTCATGGTGCTACACAGCAGAGAGGGTAGCCCATTCCCCATACCCATAATCCCCCAAACCCTGGTGATAGTGGGACTTGATCCCAAGTCTCCACTACAACAAGCAAGAAATCATGGTGGGAGAGGGGGAGACAAGCAAGACTTGAGTGTCTTAATCTCCAAGCAGCCCTGGTGGAAATACTTCGAATGAGGTTGAAAATATTAGGAGATTGATCAGGGGTTTCTTGACAATTTGGTGGTGCAAGAGAAGGAAGGAATCATGGGTAGGGAAAGTGAATTACTGGAAGATGCTAGTGACAGGGTGCCCACAGGTAGAGAAGAGAGACAACAGAAAATGGAGAAAACTATGTTGGAAGAGGAAGACCCCTTATGTGAATTTGCAAAGAGCTTAGGAATAGGATTATCCTTACTGACACACAGGGTGAGAGGTTTAAACGGGATGATACGAAGGAGGTGAAAAGTCCATAGAAGAAGGAATCAGAAGAAGACTAAAAAGAGTAGATAGAAGTGGAATGAAGTAGAAAATATCCAGTATGATAAAGTGTACAATAAGGAGGTGCATAAGAGTAATGAGGGTTGGCCGAGTTAAGGATTTAATAAGATAACCAATATGAATATCTGGAATATGTGAGGGTTGGGCAGCTCAAGGAAGCACAGGGTAATTAAGAGTTCCTTAAATAAGCAACAGTCATGTATTGTGATGATTCAAGAATCCAAGTAGGCAGAGTTGGTTATCAAATGGGTGAGAAGTATATCATCATCATCATCATCCAATCCATGTCCCCCCTATATGGAGTCGGCAACATGAATCCTGATTCACCATTCCAATGTCATATCCATTGTTAAATTATGAGTGAGAAGTATATGGAAGCCAAAAACACAAGTACCACTCTCAGTCATACTTATAAAATTCCAGCGATTCTTACCTTCTGGAGCACCTCAATGGGGGAATTGTAATTGAGAAGCAGTTAACCAAGGCTAGCTACCTTTCTAACTTACTTGTAATTACACTTATTTTTCTTATCAATTAATAAAAGCTTCAACTGTTAAAGATTAAATTACAACCTGCCAAATTGGAATTGTATTTAGTTTCCAAGATTAAAATAAACACAACTACAAGGTACCTTAACAGAACAAGCATAGGCTTGACTAAATAAACCACCAAATGAAGGGCGGTCCAAGTCAATATATTTAAAAATTAACACATCAAAATTCTAAACCACCAAGGGCAATCAAGAAACAATGACTGCCCACTTAGGTAGGATAAGGCAGTTGGTGATGATAGAAATAATGAAAATGATATGCTCCATTGAGGATACCAATCAAATGTATATATGAATGTGTTCCATTGGCAATGATCTCACCAAAGCCAATATCTCACATAATCCTTCATCACAAGAAGGTCAATAGGTCATAATGCCAGAATTTTATTAAAGAATTACCGGAATAAAAATGTTTTTAACATTTTTTATTTTCCGAATAGTGACAGAAGGATAATGAGAATATCATAAAAAACATACATGCTTGTTACTGCGATACCAATTCAAACATTTGAAATTCTGCTCATCTATTCCACCAGAATGGAGAAAATACAATAGATAGTTTACCTTCTCAGCTTCTTTTCTTGCAGATTCTTCCTTTTCAAGTTTCTCCTTGTAATCAGTTTCAACTTGGCTCAAATGTGTCTGCAAGTTGAATGCAACAAGCATTAAGACACAGCAAACTACATACTAGATCAGTATGCACCAAGTATAAAGCACCAATTCAAATGAAGTCTTACCTCCAGTGCCTTGATCACACCCTCAAGTTCACCAGCCTTCCTAGACCACTCCTCAGAGCTCTCTTTGTAGAGCTCAACTAGCTTAGTAACCTTCAACAGCATACACAAAGTTAAATTGAAATATTTGCAGATGCTAACAGCATGTGGGGGAAATGGTGCAGTTTTTTCTTTAAGGTTTAGCAATAGTAATGTACATAATGGTTTAGCACGCAACCACATGCAAGTTTTTTTATAAATGTTTAATAATGGTTTAGCATATTATGATAATGTTTCATAAAAATATAAGATGGATGCATAGTAATGTTGTGAAAACATAAGATAATGCTTCATAATAAATAATAATGTATGCAACCACATGCAATTAATCAACCATTATGCTAATAGCATAATAATGTGCATAATGTTCCATAACTGTTATGAAACAGAGAAAGAGATGGTGCAACCTAAAAATGCAAGCAAAACTTCAAAGAAAAAGTAATATGACGACTCAAAGGTCTATATAAGATGGATGCATAGTTTTGAAAATCCTATGATTTGTTACACAGCTCACAATTCAAATCATCAATACTAATGTCAATCCAAATGCAAAATCCAAATAGTGAATCCCAAGATTTGTAATCAAACCTTACACCGGAATCATTTATAATATATTACCATTGGCAGCTTATAGTTCAATTCGTGAATCTTAAGGTTTACGGAGAAGTACGGACAGGCCCAATGCAGATTTCTGATATCCACTGCAGAGCTATAAACATTCAAAATGTCAAAAACCCCCACTCTACACATCAATGCCCACCCGTGAATTGGCATCAATTCCGAGCTGGCACTCACCCCAACTGTACTTTGGGCCTAAAAAATTCTGACTCGGGGCTGAACCGTCATTCTCCCTAAGGTTTATACAATTCAGGCAATTTGAATCAATTCAACTGTGATCCAATTTCTTTTCTTCTTTAAATTTTTTCAATAGGCTCTTCTTTTAAAACCTTTGTAGAACAAACGCATGTAGGTTATTCAAGACTTATTTAGCAACTGTGTTTAGTTCATTATCGATCATGTGTGAGAGCCAGTGAGCCACTATATATGGGATAATTGTCTTTGAAGTCAAACTTGGCTATGTCATCTAAGACTTCTGGCATAAAAGTGGCAAACCATATTAAGTACATACTTGGTTGATCATCATCAGCATCATCTAAGCCTTGTTCCAACTATATGGTATTGGCTACATGAATCCTGTTTCGCCATTCCATTCTGTTTTGCAACATGGTAGCCTTTTTTTTTTTTTTTGACAAGTACCAAGTAAAAATCATTCATTAAGAAACTGAAAAAAAATCCCATAATACAACAGAAAAGCCCCCAAGGAATAAGAGGCCAAATATAAAGTTCATGCTAAATCTAAACAAAAAGAAAGACTAACAAGTTACAAATTACAGCTCAGTCCTGGACAACCCCACGCTAACCGATCCTTAACACTCCCGCTCTAGCCAATGCGTCAGCCATCGAATTGCCACTTCTAGGTATCTCGGAAGAGTGACTATCATACCATAGGCCTCATTCCCCAAGGAATTTCTTCTCTGTTCTTCAACCAAAAGATAACTGTTTGGCAATCTCCTTCAACATCCACTTCTTTCCACCCTTTTAATGACAGCAACTTTAACCCTTGAACAACTGCCAACAGTTCAGCCCTAAGAAGAATATTACCAGCTTCATCTCTCCCTACACCCCCAACTCCTGATTCCCCTAGATTTCCCAAACAACAGCCATCAAAGTTAGATTTAAGCCTTCCAGCCACTGATGGGGACCACTCGGCAAGCCTCGGTGATCTCATGCTTTGAAAGCTAGCAACTACCTGCCATTCTCTTAATTCACTGAAACACCTCTGATCTCTGAATTCTTCACAAACTAAAATCCAATGGGTCACCCTTACCGTTAGAAGCTCACACACATCCTCCACTGTCTTGTAGTTTTCTTCAAAAATTCTTGCATTCCTCTAACTCCACAAACCCCAGAGTACAGCTCCTCTTACACATTGCCATAAAATCTTTTGCCTTCTAGTAGTACACCTCATCCACCTTGGGTTGAAGAGATCTACAACAGCAGCCAGGGACACCCAAGTTCTACCATCCAAGGACAAAAAAAGCTGCCATACAAGAGAAACAAAGGGACAGTGGAGCAAGAGGTGGTTGGTGCTCTCCCCATTCTTTAAGCAGAGGATACAAATTGTAAATTCTAGGAAAGGGTTCCATTAACAGCAGAAACTCAAACTCTCTCATCTCCACCTGAGGGTAGCAGTCTCACATCTTGAAGGGTTCCAAGTAAAGAAATTAACTCACCCAATTCATGATCCCTTACAACTCTCTTCAAGCCTAAATCCCATCCACACCCGAGACACCCATTGTAGCAAGTTCAGCAATTGATTTATTTCTTAAGTTGGACAAATGGTAAATTCTAGGAAAGGGTTAGGACAAAGGAAGATCTCCCCACCAAATGTCTTCCCAGAATTTTACCCTGTGACCTAATCTGACACCATATCTTAAGTGTTGCAGAAAGGTGGGGAGTAAAATCAAAATTGACCATGTGCTTCTTGAAGACTGATTTCTGGCTGGGCCTGAGTCCCACCAATTTTGATGCAGCCCATAGATACTCTCGATCACCAAGTGCAACAAAACCTCCCTCTCCTTAGAGAACCACCAAAGCCATTTTCCTAACAACGCCTTGTTTTTCTCCTGCAACCTCCCTAATCCCAACCCTCCAGCCCACTTAGGCCTACATGTATCCTCATAATTCATAAGATGCCCATTATCTCCCCCCACATCCCACAAGAAATTTCACATTCACTTCTCTTGTCTTCGCACTACCTTCCCTGGGGCTCTAGAAACCAACAAGTAAATCGGAAGATTGGGCAAAGTGTTATGGGGATCACAAACCTTTGTTTACAGGGGGTAACTGAGGCTACCCTTGATGTACCTATCCACTTTTAAATTAATTACTAAAGTTTTCTGTTACTGATCAAAAAAAAAATTTGCATTACCATCTCCTTCCTTAATCCACTTGAATCCTTTTTTTTAAGAGATAACGTAATTACATTAAAAACAGAAATAAAGGTATACATTTATGTCAGTTCACTTGAATTTGGATTTTTGTCTCCATGAAATCTCTTCCTTGACTAAAATTCCTTCCTCATTCAATCTCAACCTCCCAAAGCTTGACCCTCTTTCTCATCTAATTCATCTGTTTTGTTGGTTAGTTCCTCCTTTTCTTCCTCTAACCTCCCAAAACATGAACCCTTCCCACTTACCATTACCACATTCTACCATCCACGACTCCCCCACCTTATTAACAAATCCTAAATGAGTAAGCCACATAATCTCAAATTTAAAAGGTATAGGACATCTCATGCAAACTCTTGGCTAAGGCAAATTGGCAAATGGTCAAATGTGAATCTAAGTAAAGTTCTATTAGTCAACCCATCTTAATGTCCCTCCCAATCAACTGATAAGAAAAATATATCCAGTTTCAAATAAATAGGGTTCACTTGGAAATTTGACAATGAAAATCTCGCCTGTACCATAGCTCCTCAATTAATCCTAATATCACTCTCTCTTCTCCCACTCTCTCCTAAATTAATATATATATATATATATGTATGTATATCATTTTCTAGCATATATATGAAAGTTTTTTTGATAAATGGTAAATATAAAAATTCATTTCTTTGTATTTTGTTGCTTTCCTGCATACACAGTATATATGTTTTTAGCTTTTTTGACAATTTTTTATGAAACAAAAAAAAAATCTTACAATTTACAATAAAATTCACAATTCAACCTTCTCTACAACATACAAACGATTACAATCCTCAGCACACTGGGTGAGGCCAACAAGAATGCAGCATCTCACTGCATTTCAACATAAGGAAGAAACTTGTACCAAAGAACCATAACAGAATCTTGGACAGTGAACATATTATTTCAATGGTGAGAAAAAGAAAGGCTAATGGGAGTATCATCATCTCAACAAAGAGGCTAAAACTCTAACTAACAGAGTGAACATATCATTTAGCTGGTATGGTCCGTTCCGTATAGAGAGATCTAAGGTGATATGTTACCCAGATATGTCAAGGACAAACCTGGGCATTGCATCAGATGCAAAACTTATACTAAAATTGAAGTATCCAAAATAATCCATCACCCTTGCACAGGTAGCTATCCTACCTAAGGTGTTGTGAAGCATCCCTCTCAAGATAGCTTGTTTTATTGTGACCCACTATATGTTTAACGTACCTCTTGTTTTTGTTTGCCTCCCCTAGGGCAAGTTCTCTTAAATCCTCTCTCTCTTGTAACAGGATTAAACATTATAGCATTTCCAATTTCCATCATCATCACTATTGATAAATTCTTCTTGATATGGCTTTTTTAATCGGAAGCAGTGACAATTAAAGGAGATTACAATACACCAATCATCCCAAAACTAATGCCCACAAACAAAAAATATCTTACTAAGCCACCCAAAATAATTGTCCTCTATTCTTCTTGATATGATAAACAATCAGGGCAAAAATAAGGACACACAGGTAAGAACAACTGTCGGTGTTTTGAGGAAAACCTTATTTTCACCATCCTATCCAAAATGTTCCACATCACTTTCTGCCTCCACCACTAAACCCCATTCTAAACCGAGGGGACAAAAAGGTCAGCCACCAAAGAATCAGAAGTAACCCTTCCACTCTCCTTTCCCTTCTGTTATCAAGACCATCAACAGCCTAGAAAAAGAGAAACAATGAGAGAAGAAGCAATTATCTACAGCTAACACCACACTAATATATGCTTTTTTACGTAATGCATTCCAACACATGCATGATACATAAAGTTCAATAATATTCTATGATGGCTATAGCAAGGTTCAAAATATCGATACAACCAATACGCCGGTAGGGGCGTATCGGGCAATATCAATAGTGTTTTTTTGCCTTTTTTTATTATTCTTTCAAAGCCGGTTCAGGGGGGCCGGTTTAAGGCTCCTCCACCCCCTGAACCGGTCAGAACCTCGATACACTCCCTGTAGGGGCGTATCGGGAAGCCACCGGCACGATACGTATCGGCCGATACGTATCAATACTTTGAACCTTGGGCTATAGATGGCCCAGTCTCACCAGTTGCATAATGAAGCTTAGCACTGAGCCACCAAAAGAGGTAAAGTCAACAGAAGGCCAATTACAATGTAGCAAAACCTAGCACTGAGAAAGTCTGGCAAAAGGAAAGTGGTGAGAGTCCTTCTGAAGAGTAATGAGAAGAGAAAAGATAGAGTAGAGGAAAAACGAGCAGGTTGAGCCTTCGTAACGGTGTATGCAGGGTAGAAGATTTGGCTAATGTTCAATAATTTATAGCATCTGTATTGAAGAGGTGGTGGCCTTTCCTTGGAAAGGTGGTGCTCTGCCTTTGAGTAGGTCTTCTGTTTGGATTAGCATACGTATTGAAGCTAACTGGAAGTTGCTTAGGCAGGCTAGTATTGAGTCGTTTTGGTATAGTGACTGGTTCATCGGTGCTTTTTGGGCAGGGCTGACCTTATATATCACCGTTTTCTGAGTTTTCCTTTTGAAGACTTAGATCCATATACTTCATGTAAACATCTTTTTCCTGTATAATACATTTCCATTTTACTATCAAGAAAAATGCAGTGTAAGTGTGTAACCAAGCTGCAATGCAACAACCATCCATTTTAAAGCAGAAAAGGAACACCAACATGCTAATCACATTCACAAGACAGAATTCCACATAACAATGAGAAGATCAACACTAATCCAATCTAAAGACAAAAATAGTTGTTGTAAAACTCAAAGATTCCACTTAACTAAAATGCCAATAATTTATAGCTGTCAAAACAAAAGAAACAGTTAAAAGGCAATATATAAAATGGGTTAGAGAGATAATGCATCAAATCAAATATGCACCTTAATTAATGCCAAGGAATTTGAAAAAATAAAAGGCTTCATCATAACCAGTTATGTTCTTTCTAGAAACCATCAGTATAGCATTACCAATTTCAAAGCATGAAACAGAAAAATGCTTATCTATCTCTCAAATAATTGGGTCAAAAAAACCACCACTTATGTATGCAATATTGATACATTCAATATCATGCTGAGCTTACAGTTGAAATTTCAGCAGACAAGCGCTCTTCATCTGTTGCAGCAGCATCTTTGATTGAGCACAACTCCTTCATAAGAAATGCAAAAAATTTACATAATATAAATAAGTAAGAAAGCATTTAAGAATAAAAGAGAATGAAATTACATAAAAAAAAAAAAACTGATTAAGCAAATAATACCTCCTGTGTAGACTTCAGTTTTGCTTCCAGCTCTCTCACTCTTTCTTTATTCCACTTTAAAGAGCTTGAAGATTCATTCAATTGTCTCTCAACCTGAAAATGGATACAAAAACAATGGAACACATAAAAAGCTGGTGATGGAATGGGAATTATAAATTAGACACTTGCATCAAAGCTGGTATTGGAAGGAAATTATAAATACCAACTTACATCAGCCAGCTTAGCTGACATATCTGCTTCATACTCGGCATGTGTTTTACGAAGCTCAATGAGACTGCCAACTTTGGCAGTTAATTCCTCATTTAGCCAAGCATTATGCTTCTCAATGAGTTCTTTCTCCTACTCCCATCCAAAATTTAAACAGTCAACATTAAAACCAAAAAAAAATATATAGAACATAAAGGAGAAACTCAAAATGCACAAACAAAGATCAGAAGACAAAAAATGCATTTTAAGTAGTATTAGTCTAAGAACAAGCAAAATGACACTATTTGGAGCTTTTTCCTATCCCTTTTTTCGAATAGGTGGAAACCTCCGGCAGATGTGAAGAGCTTATTCCTCAACTCATTTTCCTCTCCTTCAGAGAAAAGGGAAGGTGCTTCTTTTGGTAATCGAGGAAAACAAAGAGAAGGTGCTTTGGAGATGGACTAGGGATGCTACACTTCAGTGTTTGAGGGAAGAAGGGAATGCCCAGTCTCTTCAAAGACAAGGAGAGAAGTATAGAAGAAGTCATTGACAACATCTCAACCAAAGTGGTGCATTTGGTGAAGAACTTGGATTTATTCTCTGATTTCACAGTGGATGACATCCTTAGAAATTGGGGGCAAGTGGCAAACTCTTATGGCTCTTGCATGGATAATCCTGGGCCTTCTGGTATAGGTGGAGTTTTCAAGGATGAAAATGGAAACATAAGAGTTATTTTCTGGACCTCCAGGAACAGGAACCTCAATTTAGGCAGAGACTTGGGCAGCACTTACAGGCCTAAGAAGAGCGGATACAAGGAATATGAAAGAAGTTGACATTGAAGGGAATTCAAAAACAATCATTGGGTGGTTAAAGAATGAACAGAAGATAACTTGGCATCATAGATATATCTTCAGGGAACTACAAAGAATGGCATAGGAGCTGCAAGAAAAGTGAATTGGGTTCCAAGGGCTGCCAATGGGAGCAGATGAGTTAACAAAGCAAGGGATATCAAGGGAATAGTTGTATTGGAGCCAACTAAGCTTTTTGTTTTTTTTATCAATAACTCTGAAAAGATTTCATTAATTAGAAAACTTTTAGGATACAACAAGAAGTTGTGAAAGAAATCAGCTTTAGTAAGCTGACCCAGGACAGAATTACAAATGTGCCCAAAACATATGTGTTCTTTGAACCCCTTGCTTTGCTAAACTATCTGCCAAACTGTTGGCAGATTTCCTAACCCATCCCACCTGGATTGGCATGTTCCTTGACATCAATTTAAGTCTTCGGAAATCATTCTTCAACCGCCATGTCACCCCTTCCCCTTTCTGCAACCATTTTATCACAGTTTTTGAGTCTCCCTCGATGATCAGTCTATTAATACCCAACTCTTTAGCCTTCTCAACCCCATATGCTGCAGCTAGAAACTCTGCCCTTGCCACATCACCCTGCTCCACAGGACCGGAGTACAAAGAAATAATGTTTCCATTTTCATCTCTAATGCCCCCCCCCCAATGCCTGAAGGGCCTGGATTACCCACACAACTCCCATCAAAGTTCAGCTTCTTCCAACCATCTGTTGGAGGAGACCATGCCTCAAAAAACTGTTGTCACGTAGATGAAGAGGCAGCAATAAGTCCCCAAACCCTAAAAAAGACTTCGACCTTAAAAGCTGAAATCAACTTCAAGCTTTTTACCCGATGTGCCACCCTCAATGCGGTGGCCAACTAAGTTAGGGGTTATTGTCATTTTGTAAGGAGTTTATCCGAGGCTAGTCTACCTATTTGGGTTCCCTATGTTGTACTCACTTTTACATCAATTAATAAAATTCAGTACTGTCACATTAAAAAAAAAAAAAAACACTATGACATTAGCCATGATCATCCAAATGAATATTTCACTGAGAAAAACTATAAATTTTAAAAGACAGATGGGTTTGGTTTCAATAGTAAATATAAAATGAATTGGAGATATTCGTATCATAGGGGTCATTGCCCGGTGTAATGGTAAATTCTTGGGCTGACACATGTCATAATGCCGGTTCATGTACGAGAGTGGCCACTTTGTGCATAATAAGTAAAACGCCAAATGTTAAATCTGTATCCAGTGCACCCACCCAAGACCCCAGATAGTTGGACAATAATTGGTAATGGCCTTATTTTATCTTCTATTTCTCAACAACAGAAGTCATATTACAATGCATTTGGTTGCAAAGAAAATAGAAGAAAGGAAAATAAAATCATTAAAAAAAGTGACTCTCCTTTGTTTGGATTACAAGGGAAAATAATATAGGGATGCAACTTGAGTGGGCCCTAAGCCCAGATCAACCCAGCCCAAAATTTTACAGGGCTATCCTTGGATCATCATCATCTAAGCATTGTCCTAACTATATGGGGTTGGCTACATTTTTTGAGCATCATCTAGTAGGCATAATTTATGAGAAACATAGGGTCAAGTCTGAGAGCAGCAGCTTCATCTGAAAAAGGCCAAGGCTAAGACCATATCCAGTCTACCCCTCCCAAGACCCCAGATAGCTGGGACCAATATTGGGTAATGACCTTTTATCTAGTAAACACGAGAAAATCATTAAGAAAAGCGGCTTTCTTTTGTTTGGATGACAAGGGAAAATATAGGGGCACAACTTGGGTGGGCCCAACCTAAGCCCAGATCAACCCAGCCCAAAATTTTACAGGGCTACCCTTGGATCATCATCATCTAAGCATTGTCCCAACTATTTCGGATCAGCTACATTTTATGAGAATCATCTTGTAGGCATAAAATGTGAGAATGTGAGTTCGAGTCTGAGGGCAGAAACTTTTTTGAAAAAGGCCAAGGTTAGGACAATATCCAGTCAATCCCTCCCAAGACCCCAGATAGCTGAGACCAACATTGGATAATGACCTTTTATCTAGTAGGCATAATTTGCATCCAGTTAGCAACACCAATTAATGGAACTACAATAAGGGATTACAATTACCTGAATTGCTTCTTATTCAAGTGTCTATGACATTTGGCTAAGTGCTAAACCTGACAATCCCAATTGCAATATGATCCATAGCCCATGCAAACCTTTAGAGAAACATGGTGATGGAAACTCTTTCAAGGTAACAGAAAATTCCAGTATTAGAAAATTGTAGGATCACCAAAATATGCCTTTTTACTTTTCTAACTAAGCATTCTTCAGCAAAATACACCCAAACAACATGCTAAAACAGAACCCCGCAAATGTGAACTAAATCAAAGATCTGTCATCATTTAAAAAAAAAATTAAAATCAGCATTCAATGTAAAACAGAAATTTAAGAAGTGACACCATAAAAGTGGAAGGACACTCAATTAACCTGTGAGAGACGAGAACACACATCACGAGAATGTGCCAACTCTGCCATACTATCCTGCAACCTAGCCTCTCTTTGGGAAGAATTCTCTGTCATGCCAACCTTCACAACAAGAGACCAAAAAGAATAAGGAAAAATAGAACCAATTGAATAACACACAATCAGAGTTTTAGAATGAAATAGTCAATTTGATAGTGAGACTGAAATGTTGCATTTCACTCTCTCTCTCTCTACAATAGTAATAAATGCTAATGTCTTCTTCATTATTTCTGTATATTCCAATTCCTGAATTTCTGGGACTTCTCAAGCTGATGCAATTGAAACTCAGCATTATCATTAATGGAGGCAAATCCAGTTCACAAAGTTGTTGATATGCCCATTTTTTGTTTTCCATTTAGAGGAGCTTTGGGATAAAGTGATTTTACCCTATTTTTATCTATATCTACCATATATGTACCTAAAACAATGGAATTTACCTATTTTCTCCTTTTAATGAAATACTTTACCTTTTTCTCAAAAAAAAAAATAGAATTTACCACTCTTGCAATAGAAGTCTAAGGCGATACAAGCAAATCTAACTTGAAAGTCACATAATTCATATACAAATATACAATTGCTCTTTAACCTGCAAATGATGGAAAAGGAACTTAATGTTTGGTCGTAAATAGCATAAATAAATCATTTTCAAGTAAGGGCTTTAAAACAGTCTCCTTTGACAAAACCAATTATAATATAAACAAAAAAATGACAAAGTAAAGAACTAATTCTTAATTGAATTTATTCGAATCACAGTGAACCACAAGAATCGTGCAAATGACAAAATTTATGAATCAAATCATAGGATTCAAATAAAAATCTAGAAAATTATCCAGACATAAGATTCAAATTGAAACCCTTGAGATTCACAATTCAAATTGTGAATCATATCCTAAATCTTAAGATCTTGACAACATTGTTTGGGATTTGAGTTTCAACAATTTCTATATTAATTGGAACACCATGATCTTTGTGTCCCCACATGATTTAGCTCTCAGAACTCAAAACCAATTGGGCACGAGGACTCCGTTCAGACTGAATTACTTCCCTGCTTAGAGGATGGTTGAGACTGGAAGTCCAGGATTCTCTCTTAGGTTAAAGATCTTAATCTCCAAGGAGATCCACAAGTGGTAGTAGGCAGGCAGCATGGTATCAATTCGGGGTCCATGACAACATATATATACAATCAAAGAGGTTGAATCTTTGGCGAGAGCTCTCAATTCTCACCTCAGTGGGTTCTAAGATCAGCAAAAAGCATGACTGACACCAAGAGTAAAACCAGGATTACTCTTTTGGAGTTACAAAAAAAAGGAGGGAGGTTTGGAGCTAGCTTTTATCTTCCTTGGAGGTGCCAATTTACCTTTTCTTGTTCTGTACCCCTTACTTTTTATGGTATAAAGCACAAGGCTCCATAGGATGCCACCCTTTTTTTGTTCAGTAACTGATCAGAGAACCTTTATGGATCATGAAAAAGTGAAAAGGAGTATAAAGGTTAACATACAAAAGCAACCCAATTAGGAGGGAAAAAGTTAGCTCCACCTTGACACTCTTCCCCCAAAGATACCTGAAGCCCAGATACAAGAAAGAGATAAGTGACCCTTAAAAACTGTGGTTTATGCCCCAATACAAAGCATATCCAGTTGCTGTTTCCCTAACCTGTGAATTGTAATGCATTGGCTGCTTTGTGCACCCTTACAAACAAGAGGTTCATATAAGAAGCCTCCTTTAGAAACCATGATGGTTGATATAATGTTAAAATCTCAGACTAACAAGCATGGGAAGGAGATTTCAAGTTCCAAACAGACACCTTGTGCCCAAAAAAAAAAACACTGAAAGTTATGTCTTTATCCAGTCCCCTCCCCAGACCCAGATAGTTGGAACCAACATTGGGTAATGGGCGTCTTTTTTTTCATTGGCCATGACTGAATGAGGAGCACCATGACAGCTACGATAATCCATTCCTTTTCAAAAACACACACATTGCAAGATGATTCCATATCTTCATGAAAAATTGGGCAAATAAAGCATGAATTGCAAATTCCTCGGCCAAGTGAGGATGGACGGATTAATTGTGGATATCCAGTCCCCTAGCAATCCTGATTATCTCATTTAATATCAACGACCGCATGAATAAGAATGTCTTTGTGGATATATTTGGAGCCCAAATCCATTGATGAAGTATCCGTGCACCCTCACCTCCAATAAAAATGTTACACAGAGTGATACTATTGAATATTTTTCGATTGTCCAAGATAAGTTAAATGTTTTTAAGGACTGGTTTCATCAAATGCCAGCAACACGGACAAATTTTAGTCAATCCTTGTTATAGGATGCTATCGTGCTTACGTTCATTGTGCTTCTCAGGTTATAAAGAAATAAAGAAGAAAGAAAATTCATGATTAGAGGGATAAGCAACGCCAAGTCGCCAACTTACAATCTTGTCCAGGTAACTCTTAATGGTAGCATTTTTCTCGCCGATCTCTAAATCCTTCTGCTCCAGCAATTCAAGCAACTGACGCTTGGACTTATGAAGCTCGGAAGCTTCAATGGACAACTTCTCAATCTCTGCATCTTTGCTAATCTGAAAATGAAGCAGTAAAACAACATTGGAGAAATTTTGGAAAGATGAAAGGTGATTATTATAAACACCTATTTTCTTTTAAAGAATTTAATTCTTATTCTTATTATCCAACAAAAAAAGTGATGGTAAAATATGCTCTTACAGCTTTCAGGTGAAGCTGGTGTTTATCGGCCTGAACTTCGGCAAGCTCTGAGACCTTTTGTTCGAGAGTAGCATTGAGCTGGGCATTTTGGGACTCAAGCTTAGCAAACTCTGAAGAGAGAGAAATGTATTTCTGTTCGAGGAGGGCGCAGGTCTGCTCGGCGGTGATCGAAGCGGCGTCTGCCTGAGCTTTTACGGTCTCCAGCTGGCGATGGAGATCTCTAATGAAGGAATCGGCCTTCTCAGCAACGAGAGAAGCATCATGAGAACATCGCTGGAACTCCTCCTCCGAGAGGAACAGCGGCATCGTGTACCCTAGAGGTCTGATCAGGAGAAAAGGACAACGCCGAGAAAAACCAACGCAAGGAAGTGGCCTGGGTTGTCCGACGAGCAAATGAAGCGTTTGGAAATGGATGCAGAGAGTGATTTAATAGAGATGAGAGAGAGAGAGGGAGAATAAAATGAAAGGAGGGAAGAGGATGAATTTGGAGAGTTGGAGGGATACCAACACAACACTCTCACCGCCCTAAGCGAGGATGCACGAGTCAGCCAGCATTCAGCAAAGCTGCAACCCGAGTAGATTCCAGCAACCGGACCTTCGAGCCCATAATGCTTTCAGATGGGTTTGATGGATTTGGGCTTGGTTAATATTTAACATTTAACAAGTTAGGGACTTAGGGTGAGAAAAAAATCGAAAAATCGAACCGACCTAAAATTTGATCAAAATCGAATCGAAAAATTGATTAATTGAATCATTCGGTTTAGTTTTGGTTCGGTGTTTTTAAAAAATCGAATGTAATAATTTGATTTTGGTTAATTAATATAAAAAACTGGCGATTAATTGAATCAATCGATATATATATATATATATTTTATATTTTTATATATTATAAATTAATAAATATTATATATATATATATATATATTTATAATATATGATATATTATTTATTGTTTAAAATACAATATTTCATATATTTATAATTTTTTATTATATATTGTAAAAATTAAAAAACCGATGACCGATCAATCGGTTATTGGCTTCAATTCAATTTTGATTACTGAATTTTCAAAAAACCAGTAGTATCTATCTAATTACAAAAAAAAAAAAAAAAAAAATCATGATTCAGTTAACCCAACCGTAAGCACCCCTAACTAGGGTCGTATGTATGGATTGATGCAGCTATTTTATGGGTCGGGTTAAAGTGATAAACCTGCATTGAGCCGACTCTATCGGTTAGTATCGGATCAACCTTAATCGACTACTTAGGTTCGGGATGAACTCTTTCCCTCGTTGATAATGGCATTCCTATTTTTGACTATAAAACAAAATTATTTGATATCCTATACTTTTATCTAAAAGAAGGGATTCGACCATGTTTTTTTATTGGGGTTGTAGATGGATCCGATATGATCCAATTTGAATTCAAACCCATTTTGATTGCGTTGGTTGTATACCCATTTAGCCATAATCGGATCGAAACCGTTTAAACGGTGTGCTCTGTATTAATCGTGTTGAGTTTGGATATTGATTGAGCTACTTCACTGTCATCCAATCCAGATTTTGGTTTTAAGTTCATTGAGCTTAAATGGAAATATATATTTTAAAAAAAAATAAAGGGAACTAAAAATTTGAAGAGGGTTGAAAAGCAAAAGAGAGTAGTAAATGGGTGTATTTTAGAATATAGCATAGATTTATGATTTTGATAGACAATCTTTTTAATATGCATACTTACATGCATTCATTTTATATTTGGTTTTGAATATTTGTGCTGGTTTTATGCATGTTTATTAAGCTTTGAATGGAATCAAATTCAGCATGGTATTTGAGAATATGAATGGATCTAATTTGAATTTGTGTTATAAACCGAAGGCTCAATTTGGAAGGAGTACAAATACATAATCAATAGCAATTTCAATTATTTTTTTGGAAATTATCATAAATATTGCTATTTAATTTATTGGTAGTTAATTAGTTATAGAAAATTATTAGAATTGGAGGGATGGCAATTTTTCTTGTAAAACCAGAGCCCTACCCTACCCCATTCCGAATGAGACAAGTTTTCTCAAATCTTAAATGGGAACAGGGCAAAGACGGGGTGGGGACAAGGAAAATAATTTTGTTCCAAATTAGGGATGGGGTTTGCATATAAATCCCCAAACCCAATGGTAAATTAGTAAAATATCCATATATTTAATATTACTTTTTAAAGTATCTCTAAGTTTTCCTCATATTCTTATAATCCTAGGATCTCAAAATTTCATTTATAAAGTACCCTCAAATTGTCATAGTCTAATTCTTAAAATTCTCCCAAATTCCTATAATCTTATTTATAAAATATCCATAAATTATATTTTTTAAGTGGTTGCCTCAAGGTGGGGAAAACTTAGGGATTCCCCAACCCAACAAAGATTGGGTGCCTCACCCTAAACCCGCCCCGCCACTGGGGTTAGGACGGGGATGGAGTAGAGTGTCTTGACTTAAGGGGGCAAGGGAAAATGAGGGGTGCCCCATCTTGTGCATCGCACGGCCCCCTACTAGTACAAGTATATATAGTGCAAAAACTTATATTTTGTATTATTGTATATGTATTTGCATTGTACTCTTTCCAAAATAAGCAGAATGTACATTTCTTATATTCTTGTTAGAACAAGTTCAGATATACCCCACCAAAATTCATTATGTTTGCATCCAATCACATTTAGTTTCTTGAGTGGAAAAAAATACAACATGAAGGCATTCATGATGTTAAGGGTGTTGGTTCCATTATTAGGGATACGGTAGGTTGTTTAGGCTTAGTTAGGAAAGAGTGCAAATACAAATATGTACATTACAAATACATATAAAATAATACAAAATACCAAGTTTTGCACTCTACATATTTGTATTTGTACTCCTTACAAACTAAGCCTTAGGAAGGAGTACAAATACAAATATGTAGAGTGCAAATCTTTGTATTTTGTATTATTTTGTATGCATTTGCATGGTACATATTTGTATTTGTACTCCTTCCAAACTGAGCCTTAGATACAAATTAAACATGATAGAATGATAGCAAAGTAAACATATGACATGCATGGCATTAAATATAAATCCAATTGAGTTCAAAAGGCATATTTTGGGGTTTAACATAGGGTTGGTCTTCAAAACTAACTGAATCCATTTAATTTATAACCCCTACTTTATTAGAACGAACCAAAAGGAGTTAGGGGTTCAGGAGAAATAAAGAAAAAACAAAGAGGGATTTAATGGGGAAGGGAGATGATACTACAAATGATTATAGAGGCAATGAGTGAGCAAGAAAGAGGGAATTCTATGAATGATTTCTTTGGGGAGAGAGTAATGATGGATATTATCAAGACAATAGAGGGGATCCATGCATTTTGTCAAGTGAAAGCTAAAAAATAAAAACACATAAGCATATATAATTGTTTTATATTATTAACTTTTTAAATTACTAATAATTATTTATATTTTATATACTACTTTTAATATTTTTTTACATTACAAAAATAACAACAATTTATTTCAGCTAGGGTTGTTCGTCAAATTGATGAACCCAACCAACTCGACCCAAATTGATCGGTTTTCTAGTATTTCCGGTTGGCTTCTGGTGAGTTTCACTTTGTCCATTTGTAAACCGACCAAAATCAAACAACTCGACCACAAATATATATATATATATATATATATATATAATTGAGTGGGAAAATCCCCATATTTCTTAGTCAAAAATATTATATCATTAATTTAATTTTTAAACTTTATTTTTTGATAATGCCACTATAAATTTTTAAAATTTAAACTTATGTTATAAATTTAACTTTTTAAGTTTACATCTTTTGATTTGACCCACCAAACTGAAAATCGACCTAAAATTATACAACCTAAGTTAGCTGGTTTTTATTAATGGTCACTCGGTTTCATGTGACCAACTCCCCAATTTGACCATGTCGATTTGGTTAACTAAACAGCCTACAACCGAACCAAACCAACCCATGAACACTCATAATTTTATCTAAATTAATAGTCTAATCTCTAATAAATAACAATAGTTTAATCTCCAATAGTTATTGATAATTTATAGAAAAATACACAATTATTGAAATTATGTTGATAACGAAAATACAATAATTACAAAAAATCAATAAATACTAAAAAATATTAAATTAGTCAATAAATAGTTAATATCAAATAATACTTAAATCTCTAACAAATACTAATCAATAAATTATATAAAAAATGCAATAATAGCATAATCAACTAGACTAAAAAAGTTAAATACTAGTATTTTAATATCCAATAATTATTGAAAATACAATAAATATTAATTATAGTATATATAAATATAAATTAATATTTAAAATTATTATTAATAAATATTAACTTTTAAAAGTGATCTTCTATAATTATTATTTGTTATAAGTGAAATTAGTTATTTACAATATTATTTAGTTATTTAAATAATAATATTATTTAAATTTTAAAATTTTAATTATTTATTGAATTTGATAATCCATAAGATTATAATTTATACTATATTATTTAAATTTTCAAATTTTAATTATTTATTGAATTTAATAATCCATAAGATTATAATTACATAATTTCGTTATTAATTTTATAAAATATTAAATTTTGAATATTATGTTAGAATTATTTTTCTACTTTTAAGAAATTTTTAAATTTATTACATAACTTCATTATTTTAACTATTTAAAATATAGATATGTTAAATATTTCATTATTTAGAATATTTAGTTATTTAAATAATATATAAAATATTTAAAGTTTTCATTATTTGAATTTTATTTATTTTAAAGTAATATTAAATATTTTGTTATATAATTATTTAGCTATTTTAGTATTTGTTATTTAAGATATTTGGTTATTGAAATATTTAATAATATGAATATTATTAAATCTATTATAATTATTTTTTTGTGTTTTTAATAAATATTTTAAAGTTATTATATAACTGCCTTAGAATATTTAAATAATTCTTAAATTTTTTTAATTCACACTTGCTTTAGATATATATATATATATATATATATATATATATAGATATAGATATAGATAAAAATTGGAGGAAAAGATAAATAAGAATTAGAGATAATTTAGGAAAGAAACTCTCTAGTAAAATAAAGATAAATAAATATGAATTAGAGATAAATTAGGAGAAAGTGTGGGTAGTGAGGAGACAGTTTAGGAGAAATTTTAGGAGAGAAGATTATTTAGGTTATTGTGAACGTGTCAATGAGAGGGAGAGAGAAAGAGAGAGGGAGAGATTTTAGATATTTTTTTATGGGGAAGGAGAGCATCTCATTGGTTGATTAAAAAATGACATGAAATAAATCAATAAAAAATTAAAGAAAGGGGAAATTCTTAGACTTCCTTCTCTTTCTCTCTCTCTCTCTATAAGCCACAATAAGGTTTTTATTTTTACTTCTTATATTTCTAGTAATTTAATTTAAGACACAATGGTGAGGTCTACATGAAGAGGTGAGAGGACTCTTGGCCTCCCTCTTTCCTCGATATCATATTAGTGTGAGGCACTTGCTATGTATGTGTGCAAGAGTGAATGCATATGAACACTATATAAAGGA